AGGCGTTAAGTAGTACAACCCATTATATTGCTTGCCCAGGCCAATCATCCTCCTCGTAGCCACGTCCTGTATGACACAAAAGTTAGGATGAAAAAGAACAGAACACTGCAGTGCACGAGTAAGTTTACTGACAGATAATAAATTGACACGAAAATTGGGTACACAAAACACATTATCAAGAGACATATCCGAAGTAATTTTTGTGGAACCAATGGAATTAATATTGGCTCGTGCACCATTAGGTAGTTGAACAAAAGCATGTTGTGGAGGTGATGACTGATGCAAAAGATTGGGTGAAGAAAATGTGTGGTGTGTGGCGCCACTATCTATGATCTAATATTTTGAGGTGTGTGAGTTAAGATTAGATGAGTGACATGAGGGTGTGAATATACCTGTGACATTTGCAAAGGACTGAGCATTACCATTACGGAGAAGAGCCATGAGTTGATTGTATTCCTCGGTTGTGAACTTGGGGGCATCATTTGGTGGTGCAGTCTGAACCCTGGCAATTATAACAGGGTCTTCGAATTCTACTTGAGAGTTATTGACTGCAGGTTTCTTATCCTTTAGTGGTTTGACTGTTTGACTGTCTTGTCATGAAGCTTGTGCCCAAGTGGGAACCCAATATGGAACCAACAACGATCAACAGTATGGGTGTATTTCCCACAATATGTGCATTTAAGTAGCTTTCCTTTTGTTTCCTTGGGAATTTTGGGCAGTGGGCTGTCTAGTATTCCCAACATTCATCGCGTGGTAGGCAGTGGTGTCACGATTCAGGGCGACCTCCGTTTGTTTATCTTGTTGGAGTACAAGAGAGTAGGCTTTCCGAACATCGGGTAAGGGCTGCATCAACAAAATTTGTCCACGAATAGCGGAATAGGAATCATTTAATCCCATGAGAAATTGCATTACCTTTTCTTTTTCTTCACGCTCGTTGAGCTTTTTCAGTCCTCCACAAATGCAGGTTGGAGGGTCATTGTATGACGCAATTCATCCCAAAGCGCCTTCAATTTGGTGTAGTAAAGAGCAATCGGTTGTTGCCCTTGTCTGTGCTCCACGATGTCTCTTTGGATTTGATAAATGAGCAAAGCATTGCCTTGTGAAAAACGTTCCTTCAGGTCTGACCAAACTTCTGCTGCAGTTTCAGCGTATATAACGCTATTGGCTATCTTTGGATGAACTGAATTAAGGATCTATGACAGAACCATATCGTTGCATCTTTGCCAAAAAGGGAACTTTGCTTCAGTTGTTGATGGAGCCTTAATCGATCCATTGACGAAACCGATTTTGTTCTTTGCGCTAAGGCTGATACGCATAGCATGACTCCAAGTCCCATAATTATCTCCTTCGAGAACTTTGGAGACTAGAATGATGCCCGGATGATCCGAGTGGTGTAAGGAGAGAGGATCCGTAACATTTAGAGATGCCTCGGTTGAGGTTATCTTTTCATTGGTTTTGGGTTCGTCCCCCATCTCTTGGATATATTTCAGCGGAGGGTACGAAGAAGAAAGAGAAAAATAAAAAAATTCTAGAGTCACCAAGAACGGTGCTCTGATGCCATGTAAAAATATGAGATGGGAAAGATGAAATTGTAGAGAAAACTTCTCTTTTTCTATTTATCTTTGTACAATGGTATCATGACTTTTATACTAAATTATGAAAGCTGTACAAAGAAAATTAATTTACTTGATCCTAAAATTAAGCATTGACGCCTAAAGTTAAGGATTTATTGTTTAATACAATCCTGCAATCATGGCATTATATGGGCTGGAATATCCTATCATTTAATAGTAACTTCTCTCAACGGCTAGATGTCAAATTTTAAAAAGCTGTTAACCAAAGTCTAAAATGAAGACCTTTAAAGAGTTTTCCCGAGAAAAAAAAGAAGAGGAAGTCACAATCATGTCTTAGGTGGTGGTGGTTTTGGTGTTGTAAACAAATAGTGAAAAGTATTGTCCCAACCGAATTCAATAATCAACACATTTCATATTACTTATAAGCAATACCAATCAAACAGATCAAATAGCTCTGATGCTGAATCATGGAATATTCATCTTGACAAGAAATTATCTATACAATAAAATAGGTATTACAAACACTAAGGGCTATAGCTCAATTAGGTAGAGCACCTCGTTTACACGCGCGCCAATGTTTTTCAGGGGAGTCCATTATGCAATCAAAAGAATTGATCTTATTGAGAAATCGATGTCTTACTCCATAACTTTGAGGGAACAAGAGAATAATAGCTTGACAAATGGTTCGGTCCGATTCGGGTGTCCATTTAGTTGGCAAACAGAACCCATCATTGATTTGAGATATTGATAAGGTGAATACCCAGTCTATTCAATGCTAGGCATAATGAGTATAAGGACCTCAAAAAAATATCTTTTCGTCCTGAACAAAATTCTCTCAATTACGTGTTAAGTTCTTCATTTGAAGACAAAGAGGCATCAATTTCCAACTTTCTGTTCAAGTTGATCTGAATATTGAGTCAGTTTTGTAAGTATTTCGAAGGATCCATTGAAAATGGAGGAATAACAAAGTCCAAGTATATCTCGGATCTTATTCTGTAGAGTCATGAGAGAAAAACAGAGGAAGGCGCGAATTGGAATGTTTCTTGGTGAATCTACAGAGTGTTTCTTGGATCCATTACCAAAGAGGACACGGGTTGAGGGTTATTTAGGTAGGAAACGAGTTGAGGGTTATTTCTAACTATTTAAGAATAAAAATGTATTTGAAATAATTGAGGGTAATATATGTATATTGTTTTATTATTTTAAAAAGAGGGGGCGTGAGAAAAAATAAAACCAAACCTCATAGGGGGTATATTAGCAACCTTTGCTCAGGTTTAATATAGGAGCAATAAACTGAAACCTTAGGAGGTGTGAGAGCATTTAGCCCTTAAAATTATATGATTCATTATTGTGATTTATTTAGATTGATAATATAAAAAAAAATCGCTCAACAATGCGGAGTGCACACGAATTGAATTAGTTAGACTTACACATAATCAAATTTTATTTGATTTCATTATTTCAACAACAATATAAAAACTAAAACCGAATTGATGAGGTTTTTGAAGTCAACCAATCCAATTAATCTAATTTTAAATTAATTCCAATAATTGGATTTTTAAAGTGAAGTACTCCAATAGGACATTTACAAACAACAACATATCAATTACAACCATCAACAACTTAAACTCAATTTGCAAGTAAACTCAAATTATATGCATAATTTTAAATTTTTATTAATAATCCGTGAATTGAACTTATTTGATTAATAACCCTAAATTTTAATCATGAAACTGAATATTATGGACCCGTTTGGCAACCGTTTTTACTTAGTATTTTTGCTTTAACCCGAATCAAAAGTAGTGTTTTTTGTTATAGAGTGTGTTCAACACTAATTTCGAAACCTTTTTGTTGAAAGATTTTTTAAAATAAAAATATGAAAGCATGTTTGGTAAAAAGTGTTTCAAGTTTGAAAAATTAAATGAATAGTTAAAAAAGTCATTTTTTTAAAAATAAAAATGTGAAAGCATGTTTGGTAAAAAATGTTTCAAGTTTGAAAAATTAAATGACTAGTTAAGAATATTCTTCCGATTTTGGCCTATTTTTCGAAAACACTCAAATACTATTTAAATGACAGTAAACATTACCCAACATGCTTCGTGCATTTTGCTTTGTTACCACTAGCAAAAGTAAAAAAATAAAAAAAATCTAGCAAAAAATTAGCAACCCCTATATAAAAACAAGGGTAAAGTACAGTCACACCCCTTGAGGTTTGGCAAAAGAACACTCAGATGAAACTTATCTGTTTTTTGAACAAAGACACCTCCTGAAGATTCAAAAATGGACAAAGACACGCCTTTACATGAAAAATTAATCAAATTACCCTTTGACCATTTAAGAGACTTTTTTAACTTTACAATTTAATAAATTGGACCAATCTACCCTCATGAATAATTTATGCATAAAAAAAAAGTAAAAAAAAACTTTATATTGTTCACTTTTTTTTTTTACTTCATAAATGTCTCAACTTCTTAAAAATTTAGACGTTTAAAATAATTTTTTAATTCAATACATATATTTCAAATAAAGTATATTTTGTTATTACTTATTTTCTTTTTCTTTTTTATTTTTAAATTAAATTGCTTAATTATTTCATCTAAAAAAATTAAACCAATCTCTTTTCCTTAAAAATAAAAAATATAGTACCAGTATAACTTTATGCATCTTAAATAATATATCAAATATCACGCATTTCTCAACATAAAAGAAAATAGGTACTATTATAACTTTATGCATTTTAACTTTATGCATGCCTTTTTTTTTTTTTCTCCCTTTGTTTTATTATTATTATTTTCCCTTTGTTTTATCTTTTTTTTTTTTTTTTCCATTTTATGTTGGGAAATGCATAATATTTGATATATAATTTAAGATGCATAAAGTTATATTGGTACCATATTTCTTATTTTTAAGGGAAAGAAATTGGTTTAATTTTTTTATATGAAAGAATTAAGTATCTTAATTTAAAAATAAAAAAGAAAAAGAAAAGAAGTAATAACAAAATATAATTTATTTGAAATATATGTATTAGATCAAAAAATCGTTTACATTTTTAAGAAGTTGGGACATTTATAAAGTAAATAACAATTTTTTTTTTTTTTTGTTACTTTTTTTTATGCATAAATTGTTCATAAGGGTAGGTTAGTCCAATTTATTAAATTATGAAGTTAAAAAAGTCTCATAAATGATCAAAGGGTAATTTGGTCAATTTTTCATGTAAAGGGGTGTCTTTGTCCATTTTTGAACTTTTAGGGGTGTCTTTGTCTAAAAAATAAGTAAATTTTATATGAGTGTTATTTTGTCAAACCTCAGGGGTGTGACTGTAATTTACCCTAAAAACAAAAACAAATAAAGGTTCGGATTAGATCACGGATTGAACCGGATCCGTTTTGACATAGGCTAAAAAGTAAAAACATATACAGTAATAATAAATAAATAAAAAGGATGTTAAACAGCCTACGTCGAAACGAATCGACGGCTTCAACGCGGAGAAAGAAGAAGAAGAAGAAGAAAGATAGTGGACCTAGTGAAACCCTAGAACATCGAAAAATGGATATCCTGAAACAAGAATTGCAGAAGAAGCGACAAAGCCTAGCCCAAGACGTCGGCGGCAGAAAATACTTCAAGCGCTCCGAAATCGAACAGAAGCGACTCCAAAGACTCCGCGAAGAAGAGAAACGCGAATCAGAGGCAAAATCCCTCCGCGAGAAGCAACAGAACCAAAATCAAAACTCATCTCTCGATTCCTCATCAAACCCTAGCTCCAACAACGAAATCTCCAAATCCAAGAACGAATCAGCCAATTCTTCGTCTTCCAAAGCCCTAACCGACGAGCAGAAGATCGACGATCTCAACCTCCCGAAGCAAGAAGTGATTCGCCGCCTCCGATTCCTCAAACAACCGGTGACGCTGTTCGGCGAAGACGACGAGGCGAGGCTCGATCGGTTGAAGTATGTGTTGAAGGCGGGGTTGTTTGAACTTGATGACAGTGATATGACGGAGGGGCAGACGAATGACTTTTTGCGCGATATTGTGGAGTTGAAGAAGCGGCAGAAGACGGGGATTTCGAGCGATCGGAAGCGGAAGGCGGCGGAGGATGCCGGGGAGGACAAGGATGGAGGAGGTGGCGATGACGACATGAGTGGAGATGGGGGTTCGTCTGATATGGAGCACGATAAGGATTTGAAGCGAATGAAGACGAAATTCGAGGAGTTGTGTGATGAGGATAAGATTCTTGTGTTTTTTAAGAGGCTGTTGAATGAGTGGAATCAGGAGCTCCATGAGATGACTGAGACGGAGAAGAGGACGGCCAAAGGGAAGTCTATGGTTGCTACCTTTAAGCAATGTGCTAGGTATTTGAATCCGCTATTCAAATTCTGCAGGAAGAAGGTAAGTGTTTACTTTATTTTTGTTTTCTTCTTCTTTAATTCGGTTTTATTTCGCTGTTGCGGTGCTGCAGTGATTTGTTTAGCTAATACTTACTTAAATGTTATTGTCCTAGTTGTGGTATGTGCATTTTCCCTGAATAGAGATAGTTTTGTTGTTGTTATTTGTTTCACAACAAAGTTTTTGCGCTTTTCAACAATGGTTCCATGAGGAATCAACAATGTATTCCATTAGGAATCAACAATGTATTCCATGAGGAAGAGTCTAATTGCCTAAATTTTCAGTTTAATGCAAGTTCTGCTAGTATCATACATAAGTAGTGTTGGAACATAAAAGCCTTTCCTTCCCTATTACAAGTGAACTTTTGATCATATAATCACAAAGAACCACAAACACTAGAGGCTACACATGTAACTAAACACGAGGCCAAATTTACATGGAAAACTTCTTCAGGAAAGGAAATTACATAGTCACAGATGTCCTTGAGGGTGAAGGGGAGAAATTGTATATCTTTAGATGAGATTGTGGACTTTTTGGGTTCTTTGGGTCCATAGGGTTTTATTTTGGTTTGGTTCCTTATTTTTCTCTTGGGATGCGTTCCCCTTTTGAACGCTTTCTAGTACATTATGCTTATCAAAAAATAAAAAACTGTCCTTGAGTGTGGCAACGAGTAGGGGTGGCAATACTTGACATGGCACACCAACACAACTCGAACATGAAAACAATGTATTGTCATTCTTGGAACTCTATTGAAGTACATAGAAAAACTGTCAGTTCATTGCCAAGTTTAGAGCTAAGAGCTACCCCTCTTTAAAATCAAATTTGATAAAGAAGACCAGGATGTCAGATTTTCATACAGAAAATTAGGAGATTCTATTAGGTATCCATCCACCAGAGAAATATCATGATCAAAATATCTGGATTATATGCTCCGTTATAAAGGTAAATCAGCTGCATTATTAGTGATTTTGCATGGAAATTCAGATCAACTCAAAGGAGGATTAAGCTATCTCAACTTCTCTAATTTACTTTAGAAAAAGTTGTGCAGATTCTCTCAACATGACCTAGCTGATTAAGTGCCATTTTTGGGCCTAGACACGCCTCAAGCCCCCCTATGGCCCATTTGATGGATCTTCCATCCTGACAGCCTGGTCCGGTTTCTTTCTAGTTAGAATTTGCTTTCTTAGAGGTGCATGTGTTTTTTGTTTGGGTGAAACCTCAAATTGCCCCTACTCTTTTTTTCCTTGAGTTATGGCCTTGGTTCTCTTCTACTCATACAGGGTTTTCCTTTTGAATAAACACTCACTTGAAGAAAGGAGGAAAATAAAATCTTAGAAGTAATGTCCAAAATTTCACTCAGTGGTTTGTCTTGAACCATTGGAAATAGATTGGATGTCATGGTTCTTTATGATCACTCTCAATCCGAATTTGAACTCTCATGTTGATGACTGAGAATCAAAATAGTGTAGACACCCTAGAATTTTTTTTTTTTTTTTGATAAGTGTAGACACCCTAGAAAATTTTGAAAAAGCTTTTTGTACCTATTGGTCCTTTAATTGGTATTTGTGTGCTGTTGTAGTCTTGTAGATAACCCTGCCCCCAATCCAAGATGACTCTTCCGTGAGTTGGGCAAGGACAGCCAACTGTATGGAACCCTGACAGTCACCATTTGCCTCACACACCTAAAATAGAAGCCAAAATGCAATAGTTGGCCCCTGGTCCAGCCCTATCCAAGTGCAAAATGCTATTGGGTGTACATGTGGCTAAGCCTTGCAGCCCTGCCAGGACCACCTAAAGGGTTGGAAGAACCACTACTTCTGGGAATCAATATGAGACTCAGATTTATTTTAACCTGTATAGCAAGGAAAGCTGGTGTTTTAATTTGATTCTCGAGGTGCATTTGCAGCCTCTAGACCCCCTCTGACTCTACATTTCTTGGAGGGACGGTGGGTTGGGCATGGAGTTTAAAGTTCAATCCCATGGGTATCCCTTTGAAAATGATAGAATACCCTTTGAATGTACTATGTTTTTATACAGGACACTGTCTGTCACCTGTGAATTGAAGCACATGCAACAGAATCAAGCCTTTTTCTTTCCTTTTCTAATATCTACACATAGATGGACTCTGTTTATGGCATCCCTAATTTCATCCAAATTTTGATCATTTGCACAATAATGGTTCATAATTAAAAAAATAAAAAATACCACATAAGAGTAAGTGGTTTTTTGTATGTCCAAGTATTCAAATATATAAAAATAAATAAATTCTTAGTTCTTCAGAATCACTCTCAATCCAAATTTGAAATCTCATGTCAATGACTTTGAGAATTAAAATAGTAAACAGACAGACACCCTAAAGATATTTGAGAAAGTTTTTTGCCTATTGGTCCTTATTTGGTAATTGTGTGCTGATGTAGTCTTGTAGATAACCCTGCCCCCAAGCCTAGATGATTCTTCCTTGAGTTTGGCAACAACAGCCAACTGTATGGAACCCTGACAGTCACCATTTGCCTCACGTACCTGGAATATGGATGTCCAAGAAGCTGAAGTGCAATAACTGGCTTGGTCCAGCCCAATGCAAGTGCAAACTGCTAATGGTCGTACATGTGGCTAACCCTTGAAGACCGGCCTGCCCACCTAAAGGCACAAACCATTACTTTTTGGAATCAATGACTCTTAAGATCAAACCTATATAGCAAGGAAAAGCTGGTGTTTTAATTTGATACTCGAGGAGCAATTGCCGCCTCTAGACCCCCTCCGACACGGCGTTTGTTGGAGGAATGGTGGGGTGGGCATGGAGTTCAAAGTTTAAACCTATGGTTGTCCCTTTGAAAAATGGTAGAATATCATTCTTATTGCACTATGTTTTTTAACCTGATACTACTTGTCAGCCAATGAATGGAAGCATATGCAACAGAATCAATAAGCCTTTTTTATTTTTTTTTATACCGTCTCTAAACTTAGATGCAGTTAGTTTCCGGCATCCCTAGTTCTTACTCCTTCTGGACCTTGGCTTATGTACTATGCAAGTGTATCAAACTTATTGCATATACTACTTGTAGGTTCTTCCTGATGATATTCGGCAAGCATTGATGGTGATGGTTGATTTCTGCATGAAGCGAGACTACCTGGCTGCAATGGATCACTATATCAAGCTGGCCATTGGAAATGCACCCTGGCCTATTGGAGTTACTATGGTTGGTATCCACGAACGTTCAGCCCGTGAGAAGATTTACACCAATAGTGTGGCACACATTATGAATGATGAGACAACACGTAAGTACCTGCAATCTATTAAGAGACTGATGACATTCTGCCAACGGCGCTACCCAACAATGCCATCCAAAGCAGTCGAGTTCAACAGCTTAGCAAATGGTAGCGACTTACATTCATTGTTAGCGGAAGAGAGGCGGTTGGCCGGGGGAAATCAAGCCTCGGAAGAAAGGCTTATGCTTATGCCTGCCCCACCAAAGGATAGCAGCTAGCTGCATTCTATATGGTGATCTCTGGTGGAATTAGATTATAGTTGGATGTGCTTTGTGCAATCTTCTGTATAATACTCAATTATGTAACTGTAAGTTCACAATGTTCCCTTTGCATAACAGACATAGAAATGGGATATTTCATTGATGCCAAAGTTCTGTTGTGATATTTACCGGACTCTGATGCACATTATTTTTTCGAGCGTTTTATTTATTTATTTTTTTTTTTTACATTTTTCTTTATCATCCTTCCTGGGATGGCAAAGGGAGTTGTTCTGGGCTGTGTAACCTCCCACGCCCTGCCCGTTCCGTTTACTCCCAAATGTTTTTCCTTTCCACACAAAAAGCATTATCAATAGTAGTTTAACATAAAATTTAAATTACAAATATTTCATAATGGTTTTTACTATTTTATATACCCTCTACATGAGGGTAGTTTAGTAAAATTAAACCTAAATGGGGGCGGATCAGGGTGATCCTCCGCCCGCACCAAACCCGCACATGAGGGTAGTTAGTAAAATTAAACCTAAATTGGGCGGATCAGGGTGATCCTCCGCCCTCACCAAACCCACACATGCTTTTTTCTTTATAAAACTTGTCTCCGCCAATTTTTTTAGGGCTAGTTTACTAACGCCTTCACTTTCCTATTTTTGTTTTCACCAAAAGTAAAATCAAGATTTTCATTTCTGAAGTTGAAATATAAAGAGAAAGTGAAGATTTCTCAAAATTATAAAATACTTTCTTAAAACAAAAAAGAAAAAATATTTTATTAAACATGATTTTTACTTTTATTCTCAACTTTAGTAATTGACAATAGAAATCAGGAATCATTCATGTTGATGAACATGTCCTAAACGATTTCCCAAAATTAGTTTTAACGAGCCTCCCGCGGGCAAATTGTCATCCCTCCTTTGTATATGGCTCATTTCATGCATTTGTACACACTGTTCCATTTGGTTCACTTTCGCATCAATGAAATGTAAAAAAGATTGACAAAACATGCAAAATGCTTAAAAACCCCAAGATCAACTTAATTTATTATTATTATTTTTAAATATGATCAACTTAATTTTTGTCTGTAAATTTTAATGCTTATTCAAATACTTTTTATCTTCAATTAATTAATCGATGTAGATATATATAGATACGTATTTCAGGTGAACTCTCATGAAATGGTTGTGGATGCTGCTGAAAGACAAAATCAAAGCTTTATTGACAAGAACTAGGAGGTTAATAACTTAGAAAACTTAGGAAAACATAGAAATAGTGTGACCATTTAATATTTAATTGATTAAGATTTTCTAACATTGGAGAAACTGAAGATTACGAAGGAAAATCCAACTGAACAGAGGACGAATGCCAACCTGGCCAAATCTATATGAGATTATAATTTAATTAAATATTCGATTTGCCAGAACAAAAAACTATTAAAAAAATAACTATTAAAAGATATGTTTAACAATGAGCCAATATAATTCACTCATGTTGAAGTCAATATATGAATTCAAATCTAGAATTCACTGATAAAACCAAGGACGCAGCAATTCGACGTTCGTTTTTGATAGGACAACGTTGACGCCTAGTTCTTCACAAGTCGCCTCGTCACAGTAGTGAATCTATCATGACCTAAATTTCATTGTTGTATGCGAGTTTTATAATTATTTTACATAATAAGACAATGCAGCTGTCATTTCATCATTTAATTTATATTAAAAAATTCCAATGATAAAAATATCACATCAAATGAGACAGTTCATATTTGTTAAAAAAAAAAGAATAATTTGATTACCATTACGTCCAAATGGTTATTCTAAGCAAGTTCTTTCAATTTTTAAAAATTTAATCTTTCATACATAAATAAATGTTATGAACTAAGAAATGATAAGAACTAAATGAGCAATGAAAATATATATTATATATATGATATTATTCTTCTACTTTGTGTTTTTATTCACTACACATTAGGACACGTGTTTATTGTAAGGGAAAAAAGAGATGAAATTCATTAGAACTATTAATGATATGTGGTATATATTCGTAATGTTTTTTTTTTCAAAAATTAAAACAATTTTCATTAATTAAAAGATATATACAATTGGGCCATAAAACCAAGTAGAATATAAACAGTCAAGCCCAAAGCTGACAACAAGGCTAAAACAATAGCCCAACCCAGGAAACAAATCCAACAATCCAACCCCTAAAGCGAAGGTAGTAACTACCAGTAACGGCATGGAGCCATTAATGGATGCCAGATTCTAGTTCGGTGGCTTTAGTCGGCGGCCCTGCCGCCCACGAATCAATCCGGAGGGCGAGGAGGAGGTCTATAAGCGAATGGAGAGATGTTCCAATCCATGAGAATAGATCGAGAAGAGGGGCAATCTTGAAGACAACGCAACTTCAAGATGGCGACAATGGTGGAGCATACCTTAGCACAGACCACCCTCTGCGGGGCTTTTTTACCTTTGAAGATTCTTGCATTCCTCTCTTCCCAGGTATGATACAGTAGAGCTGAAAGACCCAATTTCCTGTGCAAATTAGTAGGATTGTTTGTTTTCCATTTGATGCTTGCCCAATATATTAGATTCTCCCAATTGTTGATGGCAGTCTGAATGTTGCATTTGTATTTGATGAAACACCATAAAGGGGAAATGTAAGAGCAGTTGAAGAGTAAGTGGTCATGGGACTCAATTGATGTAACACTCGTAATTTTAAAAGGATATTTCTGGTATTTACATTTTTGGATTTAATTTTTTTTTTTATTTGATTAATTGTTTACTTGTTTATTATATTGATTAAATGGTATGCATTTTGTTTAATTATTTATTTGTTAATTTTTGCTTAATTGTTAATTATTTATTTGTTTTAATTATTTGATTAATTGTTAATTATTAATTATTTGTTAATGGTTGTTATTTATTTATTTATTTAATTCATTGTTATTATATTTCTGGTACTTATAAACTTACGAAAGTTCTTATAGCTGACACTGTTTTAAACCTAGGTTGATCAATGGGCCGAGTTGTATATGGATTAGGGTTTAATGTTAGGTCTATAAATATATAATATTACTGTGGTTTAGGGTTTTAAAAGAAGTTAAACGTTTTCTGTAAAACGATTACAGTAACTTGAGATATAGAGAAAAACAGAGAGGGATAGGAAGGAAGGCTAGGGTTTTGGTCTAGACTAAGGTTGGACCAAGAAGGAGGAAAGAGAGGTTGTTCGTAGGTGATACCAAGAGCAACAGAGGTGGAACATCAGTTACGATTTTCGTCAGAAAATTTCAGAGACGATAGTAAGAGATTTTAAACCAAAGTCTTGAAGGCAAGTTTCTGTTCTTCTCTTTCCCTTTAATCTGTGTTCTTTGCATACCTAGCTAGACTCTAGGGGCTTAACTAATGATAAAACGAAGTAACCATGCATGCTTAACGGACTGAAACTGAGAGTTTTATGGTTATATATACTTGTGTGTGATTTCATTATTTTCTTGGATCTTTATGTATGATTTGTAGTTTAACTTGAATCTTTGCCTACTAACACACTTAAAATAATTTAGTATGGACGTATGGGACTTAGGTTGAAGCTTAGGGGCCTTAACAATGAAGTTTTAGGATTTACAGAGGCTGAACGGACGAAGAAGAAGACCCCAGCAGTAACTGAGGCGCCTTAGTTTGCAACTGAGCCCCCTCGGTTAGCAACTGAGTCCCCTCAGTTAGCAATTCAGCCCCCTTGGTTAGCAACTGAGTCCCCTCAGTTAGCAATTCAGCCCCCTCAGTTAGCAATTCAGCCCCCTCAGTTAACAACTGAGGCTGCTCAATTGTAATTTAGCTTACTCAGTTGGGGTTTTGGTTTTTAATGCCCAGATTTGTTTTAAAACCTATTTTAATTAAATCTAATGGGTTAAATGGACTGGGGAAGGTTCTAAAGTGTATAATACATCTTTTAGGCCTAAGGAATTGGACAAAATGGATTTGAAAATAATTTCTATAACTTATTTAAAGGATGAATCAGTATAAAAACATACAACTCAGCATACTGATAATGGATGGAAAGAACTAAATTACTTAGTTAAATTTTGGGCAACATAATGAATTGTAATAAGATTATAAATCTTATATTGGATGCATGATAGATCATTTTATGTTTAAAGTTTGAACTATGCATGCTCTGGATGTTAATTATTGGAATATCAAATTCTCTAGTGCAATTACATGAATTAATGCTGGGATTTATATTGCTGAAATTTTAAATACTTTTCTGCAATGATATGGATAATGGTTTGGATTGTAAATTACTAGCTTATTGTGCATGTGTTGTAATTTATAAGGATATAGAGGATTGTATGCACCGGTATGGGACGGTGACATACTAGGGATGGTTTAGCTCAAAACGCTTAAACCTAACCTATCGAATTAAAGGAATGGATTGAAAAATATTGAATCCTAATTGTGACTAAGTCAGATCAATTGCGACTAAGTTGAATGGCTTCCTGGATTAATGGATGGTAGTTAAGTCATATCAACTGAATAAGTTGAGTGACTAACTAGTTTGTATATTGTATGTCATCTTAATAAGTATTTGAATGACATACCCTAGTTTTGGACGGACTTTATATATATGTTTGTGGTACCACGAAATTAGTGTAATACCCCTAATTTTAAAAGGATAGTCTCGGTATTTATTTATTTGTTTTAATTGTATTTTTAATTATTTAATTGATTATTTAATTAATTATTTATGTGCTTAATTGAATTAGGTATTACTTGATTATTTGATTATGTGTCTATGTATTATTTGTATTTGTCTATGTGTTAATTATTTAATTAGATTATGTGCTTAAATGGTGTTTTGATTAATTGTAAATTAAATGTTTTCTTTTCTTTTATTATTTTATTTTATTTTTTCTTTTATGATTATGGTTAGTAGTAATGGGCCAACCAATTGGGTCCCATGAACTACTTGGATAGGAGGTTGGATGTGTATAGATTATTACCCATGAATAGTTGTGTATGTATATTTATAGATATATATTATATACATATATAAAAAGGAAAGTAATTTATTAATTACTTTTATGGTAACTTGGATAGTAATATTTAATCTGATGTATATGTTTTATATTTAAATAATAAAAATACATAGATTTGATACGTATTATATTTTAAGTTACTTTATA